GATTTATCGATTCAAACCGATATATAACCAGTTCCAATTTTCATAACATGAATAAAACCAGTTTCTAAAATTAAAACTGGTTCCAACCTCTAGTCAGAAGTGGTTTAATCGATATATTTTAATTCTTATTTGACACTTACAATTGTAAAAACTAATATTCTTTTATTAGCTAAAAATCTTTTATGTAATATAATTGATCCTCATTCGCTAATGTTGCAAACTTCCAAACTGATGAGAAATTGTCGACATAATAATGAAATTTACTTTTATAAGTTGGCTGAACCTTGTGACACTCCAGATTGGACTTATAAAGAACAAGATATGGATTACGAAACTGATTTTGAAGCTTCTCAAAGTCGACTATTAAATGAAATAGTTGAAGAAAGTGAAACATCACCTATGAGCGAAATCCGTGATGTTATTCAAGATGATGAAAATAATGATAAATATAGAAATTATGATGGTGATCAATATGGGGAATATGAGAAAGATTATTATTAACATATTTTTCATTTTATAATTTGTAGTAAATTTCCAAAGTTATATTATATTAATTTAGCAAAATATAAGTGCATTTCGTTTTATTTAATAAAATTTGCTTAATATTTGTTTAATATTTGTTTAATATTTGTTTAAAGTTTATTTAAAAATTTGCTTAAAATTTGAATCTCTGAATTCTGTTATTCATTACACTGATTATATATCGAACATCATGATCAAGTGGTAAGCGAAATGTGACAATCAGTATAAACTAATAGGCTAGATTTAGTTCGTAATTCAGCATTAAACTAACAATCTGAATTTTGACCGAAATGGAATATTTTAACCGGTGCTTGCAGTATTTTTTTGTAATTTATTAAAAATCCATAAAGAGGATATAATAAATTTTGTAAAGAAAATAGTGTAATGCAAAATTTAGAATTATTAATAATATCAGCAATATCGTTTGATAATTTACATTCTTTTTTACTTGTTATTAAATATTTATTAGCTTAAATATTAGGTTGCCATTAGTACAAAATATATTGGTTTGATGAGAATTAAATTTTGCTGATAAATACTAAAATTTAATATAATGTTAGTAATATTAAATAATAAAATTATTTATAATATAATCTATTAAAAAATAATATCTTTAGAGCAGCTTGTGATTTACATAAAGAATAAAAACAAAAATAGTAACTATTCTATCTAATATCTTCTAATGAAATTAACAAAATAGTTTTTTGATAAATGCGTATTTGTTCATCATATAAATGATCAGTAAAAAAAGATGAATTATAAAAATAGGAAACAATCCTAATAGTTTCAATTGAAATTCACTTATATAATTCTTTTTCTTTAAATATATTACCAAAAACTAGGTTTACTTTATATGTCATACATATGAGAAATATCTTATTTGGATATTCTTATTGTAATTGCCACCTAAAAAGAAAAAAATTAACTTTAATTAAATTATTATAATATATTAATATAATATATATTAAATACTAATCTAGTAGCAGCATATTCGCCTGCTAAATCTGATATAAATGCTTTGATAATCACTTTTTTTTCTTATGCTTCATTCATTAAATTTTTAATATGATGAATTACATCTTTAGTTCTTAATCGTTTAGAATTAATTTTAGTTGCTTTCCAAATCAGTGATTATTCTTGAGAAGTAATAAAAACAACACCTCACAAATATTCTTATTTAATATTAGTCCATCTATTAAAAGTAGCTGTGACTTCATCTTTATCTGTACATGCGATTTTTAAAATATTTTCTTATAAACTATGTGATGAGTTAAGTAAAATTGACCTTCCTAATTTTTTTTGAGATGGTAGTTTTAAACCCAGTAAAATAAAATTAAATAATATACAAGTTTTTGAATTTTCTACAAATGTAAATGGCAAATCATTTGAAACTTGCATTTATAAAAAAAGCATTTCAAATTTTAGTAAATCTTTGCTAAACATTAAATGACTAAAATAGTTGGTTAAAGGATCTGGTTAGAAATACTAGTAGATATTGTATTAATCTTTGATGTAGAGTCTTTCCTTTTTTTAGCAAGTAGAGAATATAATACAGTTTCTTTTTCATTTTATAAATTAAAATAAATTATTTTAATATTCAAAACAAATATTAAAATATATTATTATAATATAATTACCTTTTGTATTATTATTATATTGCTTATTATCTTCTGAAACTAGTTACGAAAGAATATTTTACATTTCTTCTTCTATATATGTACTTTTAAAATTATTACAACTAGCTAAATGTGCTCGATATAATCTAGCTCTATTTGCTATAAAACAACTTGAAATATATTATGCTATTTATATGTCACTGTTTTTATTAATATAACATATACAAACTATCTTAGCATTTGATTTACTAGTCTCACTTTTTACCAAAGTAAAAAACTCTCAAGAGTTGTGTAGCTGCTTTTTAGTTCTTAACCTTTTAAAATTACCCATATTTTTTCCTATTTTGTT